AGGAGTTTGAGACCAGCCTGGGTAACACAGTGAAAACCTATCTCTGTGAAAATAATCATAATAATCATTTTAGCCCAGATGTGGTGGCAGCATGTGCCTGACAGTCCCAGCATGTAGGAGGCTGAGACAGGAGGATGGACTGAACCTGGGAGGTTGAGGCTTCAGTAAACCATGATCACACCACTGCACTCCAGCCTGGGTGACAGAGTGAGACCCTATCTCAATAGATAAAAATAAGAAATAAATAATGGGGGGGGAGAAAATACATATAATGACTGGCTTAAACTTAGCATTATTATTACTAACATTAGTCATCCATTTAGCTGAAAATAGTGGCAGAAACTTCTCTACATTCCTAAGTGACCAGTGATTTCTATCACCAAGATGGCTTCCAGATTGTTTGGAGCAGCTCTGGAACATGGGTGCCTCTGCCACCATCTACATAGGCCACAGGGCATCTACCCAGCCAGGCTGCAGACCACTCTACTGCCTGAAAGGCTTCCCAGCTTTCTGCTCTGCTCTGGATAAACCATGCTTCAGACTACTGCCTCTTCTCTCTACAAGGTTTGAACTCAGTCTTTTCAATAAATACCCTGATTAGAGACACTTGTATTCCACCCCAGCCAGATACTTCGGGATAAAAGCAGCAAATACTCTTGACATTAAGGAAGCCTCAGAATTCCTTCCAAAAACCAAGTCCTTTGAGCTATACCTCCTCTTTGCTCCCTCTCTCTTCTGCCCACTGAAGAGAAACCCATAATCTCTCTTTCTCATTTTTGTTTTGCTTTATTTTTTGGGGACTTTATTTTCTCTGACTAAATTTAGAAGTCAGATGCCCCTGAGATTTTTTTTTTTTCCTGTGTACCACATGTTCATCTCTAATTTTGTATTTAGAGAGAAAGAATAGAATAAGAAAAACAGAAATAAGTAATATCCAATTCAGGATAACATTCTAGGCCCCAAATTATATAGGGTGTCCCCAATCAAATATCTGAGTCAACAGATCTCTCTCTACAAAAAGAATATACTCTGCTACTGTAATTCTTAGAGTAAATATATTCTTGCTTCTATATGGAGACTTGGAAAAGCAGAAAAGTAGTACTTTTTAAAGAATATATTTTCTTGAGCAGTGAGAAACGTGGGATTTAGAGTGTGAAGTCCCATCTTCTGATCACTGGCAGTGTGAGCATTTCTGAGAGTGGAATCCTAATTTCAGAGTCTCTGAGCCTTCATTTCCTTAACTAATAATGGATCAAATCATACCTACCAACATCACAGAAGAGATGTGAGGATCACACGGTATTAGTTAAAATGTTGTTAAACAAGCAAATGTTGAAAGCTTGTAAAGTTAATTGTTCCTTTTTTTCAAATGTTATTGCTCTTTCTTAAGTATAATATGTTAATTAGTCCATGAAAAAAATGTCATGAATTTCCCTCCAACTCACTTCACAAATGTTTAGGTAATAAAAAAAGAAATATTTTTATTACCTAAACATTTGTGAAGTGAGTTGGAGGGAAAATAAGATTTTTTTTTCCTGTGGTCAATTATTCTACATTTTAACACTCATGATTTTATTTCATACAGGTAGCTAAGAATGGGGAATATTTGACCCTTTGATTTCATCAATTAAAGAAAATTGTTCTTTAAATTTTTAAAGCCTTTTAAGCTCTATATAACATTAGCCGTTAGCACTTCTGATGTCATATCTTTACCGATTCAAGGCTGGGCACAGGAAGCAGACGACAGGTACATTTGCTGAGAGCTGCAATCTGGTCTCAGCAAAAGTGGTATCACAGGACATAATTCACTTACACTGACCTGCAGGTGCTTTTGTGACAACATTGATCATCAGTATACATTGTAGTGTAGCAGCAAGAGCATGGGCTTTGGAGTCACACTGACCAAGATTCAAGTCTGAGATGAGTTCTCGCTTCAGTTTTCTTTAAGTTGTAGGTAACTCCCACTTTGCAGCATGATTTGAGGACTAAACAAGGAAGATAATAGTAAGTTCTATAGCAATCCTGGAACACAGACATTGAAAGTGTGTCCTTTCTTCTTCTGTCTGTGCTGCTTCCTTTAAGAACCCCTTCCCCTCCTTCACCCTCAAGGCTGATGCTCTCATACCTCCAGCTGAGTTTCCAGCCATCTTGCTCCAGCACCTTGAAGGTCAAGTCGGCAGCAAACTCAACTCACATGCTGCAAGTCTTCCATTTGGGAGGGTCCTGCCCTATAAGACTACTTCCTAGACACGATGCTAATTACTTGGTCACATGGTACATAAAAACGTGAACTCAAATCTGTGTCTTGATGAATGCCTGCTCATTCATTATGTGCCTATTTATCACAGAATGGCAATGACACCTTTTCCTAGAAGGAAATTTTTCTGATTTACATATATGTGGCTGATGCATGAAGTGGGTTTTATATATCACTATGTCACCGCTACCAAAAAATGTCCTCTAGCATTATTAAAAAGAGACTGTGACAAGGGCCCTATCAAATTGAATGGAAAGGTCATAAAACCATCAGTTCATTTGACATAAAACTGATATATTATGTGATAATGCTTCAAGTAGAAACCAAGACCCCATTCATCACACAGGTTGCTACACAGCTAGGTTCTGAGCTGTGTGTTAATGAAACCTTCATGCTCTACTCCCACTGCAGATTGTAGTCTCCAGTCAGCATTGGGGACCCATACACCAGAATATGTTCCCACTGAAAATACATTTCATTTACTAATGAACTTCCTTGGGAGAAAGTTTATAAGTCTATATGACTGTTTTCTTGGATATTTTCCTTTCCATTTTCCTAAACTTTCTCAGAAGAAAAAGTTTAAGCCCAATTAAACAGAAAGATACATTTGAAGTAGAGATTTCAGAATATGCTTACAATGGAATATGCAGATAAAATAGTTGTTCAATTAAGAAACATTTATTCTTTTCTAAATAAAAGTAAAATTGGAGTTGTAAATATGAACTAAGAAATGTTGGTTTTATAACGTAACTAGCTATATGACCATGATCTTGAAGTGTGATATGGCTTGCTCTGTGTATCCACCCAAATGTCATCTTGTAGCTACCATAATTCTGTGTTGTGGGAGGGACCTGGTGGGAAATAACTGAATCATGGGAGTGGGTCTTTCCCATGCTGTTCTCATGATAGTGAGTGAGTCTCACAAGATCTGATTTTTTTTTTTTTTTTTCCTTTTTTGGACAGTCTCCCTCTGTCACCCAGGCTGGAGTGCAGCAGCACAATCTCGGCTCACTGCAACCTCTGCCTCCTCCTAGGTTCAGGCAATTCTCCTGCCTCAGCCTCCCAAGTAGCTGGGACTACAGGTGTGTGCCACCATGCCCAACTAATTTTTGTATTGTTAATAGAGATGGGGTTTCACCATATTGGTCAGGCTGGTCTTGAACTCCTGAACTCATGATCCACCTGCCTCGGCCTCCCAAAGTGCTGGGATTACAGGGATGAGCCACCGCACCTGGCCTGATCTGACGGTTTTAAAAATGGGAGCTTCCCTGCACAAGCTCTCTTTCCTTGTCTGCTGCCATCCATGTAAGATGTGACTTGCTCCTCTTTGCTTTCCACCACGATTGTGAGGCCTTTCCAATCATGTGGAACTGTTAAGTCCATCAAACCTCTTTTGTAAATTGCCCAGTCTCAGGTATGTTTTTATCAGCAGCATGAAAATAGACTAATACAAGGTGCTAGACAAGGTGGGGCTCTATAAATTCTAAATTCTGTAATTCTAAGACATTCTTGGTATTTGAAATCTCTAGATGACTGCCATCATTTTCTGGTATTTTTCCCTCACATGTTCAGGTCTATTCTTATTACAGAAGAATACGTTTAACATACAATTACAGAAGCAGAGGTTTCAAATAGAGATTTAAAGTACCTTCAAAATATATTTGGACTGAAATATACAGGTACAATTGTTTTTGAGTCAGGAAATATTTATTCTTCCCCATGAATTAAACTGTGAATACAAACCAAAGAACATTGATCTCACAAGGTAACTCTGAATTCTTTTAAATCTGAAACCAGAGATATGTACAACACTTACAGAATTCACACAACACTATTTTCAAAATAGATTTTTTACCCCTAAAAATGAAAATTCTTAGTGACAAGCTTTAGATATGCAACTTATCCCAGTGCGTATTAACTTTGTCACAAAAAGCAACTACAGACAAATAGTTTTCCCCTCTTCTGACATAGAAAGTGAAATTACAGACTTTTAAAGCAGAAAAAAATTTTCTCCAAAATGCAAATGATTAAAGTACAAGGAACAAATGAAGAGAAGATCTCAATTATTCAATTGAGTGAATAATTCAGTTTGCATATTAACTCCTTTTCTTACCACTTCCTGATTTCTGATTCTGGTAAAATTTATCCTGTATCTACTGGGCAAGACACTGGGCACACAAAGAAGTTTTAGAAAAGGTCTACTGGTGTGCTGGTAAAGGTTTAACAACTAGCTCTTGACGGAAAGGTAGGTCTTCACTTACAGCATTTACCAATTTCTACGGTATAAATACTCCAACTGTGGCAGATTTCAAGCTACCAACAATTTGTCAACTGTCTCATAAAACTCCTCAAACTAATGATTGCTGCTCATAAACCATTATAAGGCAGCTCTGACATACCACCGTATGCTCTCTACCTTCAAGTAGCTCATAATCTCTTCGTGGGTACCTATTTAACAGGATATAAAAGAATGGGGAATATTGAGATAAAACTTAAGTCAATTACATTTTTAAGAAGGTTTTAAAAGTTAGAAGGGGCTGGGCACGGTGACTCATGCCTGTAATTCCAGCACTTTGGGAGGCTGAGGCGGGCGGATCACCTGAGGTCAGAAATTCAAGACCAGCCTGAACAATATGATGAAGTCGTGTTTCTACTAAAAATACAGGGCATGGTGGCATGCACCTGTAATCCCAGCTACTTGGGAGGCTGAGATGAGAGAACTGCTTGAGCCTGGGCGGTGGAGGTTGCAGTGAGCCAAGATCCTGCCATTGTACTCCAGCCTGGGCAACAAGAGCAAAACTCTGTCTCAAAAAAAAAAAAAAAAAAGTTAGAAGGAATGCAAATTTGTGTGATTTTCCTACTTCTTTACTATTTCCCTTTTCCTCTTGCTTAAATTTATTTCAGGAAATTATAGTGTAGAATACTTGAGTGGAGAATAAAGGATGAGTAAAATAAGAATTTTAAAAAGACAAGAAAAAACATCGAAACATCCTAAGAAATATACTAACAGTTATCATGTTTCCATTATAAGAAAAAACCTACTAAGATAAGAGCAAATATAGTGTAACTATTAAAATCCCATCTGCTTCAAGCCCCTTCAGTTCAGTTCACAAGTCCTGAAGATTTGTCCTGACTTCTTTGGCTGCTGTTTTGGTAAGATTAGCTGGCTTCTTTAACACTATATTGAAGAGCACACAGCTTTACACCACTTACACAAGCAGCTCATAATAAAAGGCAGACCTAAATTTTGGAGTCTGAAAACTGAGCTTCCCCTGCATAGGCACCCCCCACCTTATATCAGATCTTGGGCAACTGCCGGCTAGGATGACCAGGGAATTCTTCTGGTAGCAAAACGTGGAGTCTGCAGGTTGGACATGTCCCCTGTTGCATCAACCATGGTCTAATGCACTAAGGAGCAAAAAGATTTATGTCAGTCTCTCAAATTTAGGCTAGCAAAGGCAGTTGTCACTTCTTCTGGTGGATCTTTAAAGCCTTACCCTATGGATTGTCAAGCCAGTTACTGCAAACATGGCCCTTCCTATGGTTTGCTGAGCAAAATAAGTGGTAAATGCACAATACCTTTTAGCCAGTTTATTCTATTAGAAATTATTTCTCCAACCCCCATTTTCAAGATGACAAGCAATTCCTCCTGACAAGGAAATTAGAGAAACTTGCTATATTCTTTCTTTGGTTTATTATATACTGTTCTCATTTATAATCCAGAAAAAGTCATAACTAATCTATAAAAGTCACTCTAGTACATGGTATGAAATGCTTATGGTGTTTGCAGTTAAAATCCCTAAATGACAAATATACTTCTCAGATGTTTTTTTTGGTGATAACGACAGTAATTTTTGACCATGAACTATCTGTTAAGTCATTTGCTTGAATACTGACTCTTCAAAAACAAATCATTTTTACCCATATAAATAATGGAGAAGCAGGTCAGATGAGAGAGGATTAATATTAAGCACTATATATAATAGGCCCACTAACTATAGTCATAAAAAATAACATAGATGAATTATGTGCTTTCTACTCATGGGCAATGGCAAAGAGTAAATTAAGTTTTGTTGAACATGTATTTTCTAAATTATAGGAGCTTATAAACTTCAAAGGGGAAAGTCAACGGCTAAGGATCTTTCCTGGAGAACTTTTGGGATTAGGCATTTTGTGGATTTCTCTTCATATCAAAGCAAATGCAAAATATAATTCTGTACCAGGTACCACATATTATATCTTTGAAATGATGTCTTAAAAACATGGGTTGACTGAACTGGCTATTATTAACTTCCCTGAAAAGCCTTTCTTTTGTATGATTTTCTTTTCCTGTGTCAAATTGCATATCTGCAGCAGAGGACTTGGATCATAAATTATACATCAATAGTAACTGCGTGGCAGTAACACCAGAAGTTAATCTATATAAATGCCAAGAATCAACAAAAGACATGCCAACCCCACATTTTTCTAACATCAAACCTCAAGCCTGAGCATCTTTCAAAAGCAAATATAGGAGCCTGAACAGACTGCTAAGTCTTATGCTTTATGATAGGAGGCTGTCATTAATTATGGACAAAGGACACTATATGGTATTTATAACATGTCAATTTCAAGTGGTGCTGTTGCTAGTTCTGCCACTAAACTACCACGTCAATTGACATTTGTCCCAGTTCTATTCAAAGAAACTGCCTACTGTGTACTATCTGAATATCCACATTGTCCCCTTATTCTGTAGGGTGGATGGAGATCTAAGAAAGCACAGTGCAATCCATGGCTATGTATGGGAAAGGCATGTTTCTGTGTGGCACCCAAAAGCTCAGTTATACTCAGTGGAACTCCTGAGACAACAATAAATAGTGATGCATGTATATGATAGTAAGTAAGGCATATAAATCTCACTTAGCTGATCAATGGGAAAATTTAAAGGGTTACCTGAGCATGGAATTTGTGAGCACAAGGCAAAACTGAAAGGTTTTCTGGAGACAGATTCTCATGACAGATCACGCAAGGCTCTTCTTCCTCCTCTTCCTCATCCTGGGGAAAATACAGAATATGTTAAATTTAGCTCATTTTTTCCTCCCAAATCTAAATGTGTATAGAATCAACAATTTCAGTCTCACTGGCTTATTGGCTCCTTCCCATGTGGCAGAACTTTGTGAAGTGAGGGGCCGCCAGGCTGGTTTTGGGGGCTGGGCAGCATTAGGCTGTGATGGAGAATGACTAGGTGAAACACAATTACCATTTGACACTGATTTTCCTTGACTCTGAAAATAAGAATATAATGTTAATTTTTTCAGAATTGTCCCAAAATAGTAAGAACTGACACATTGTAGCACAGAATGGGGCATAGCGAGAACTAGCAAAAGGCTAAACAATCAGAATCATGAGAAATCCTGAACAAAAGTAAGGCAATACTTATATACTCAGAGCTAGGTAAAAACAAAAATAATTATATTTTAATTAAAATAAATCTTTCAAGAAAATTAGAAAAATCTCCCTCTTTAGACTCATTCAAAGTAACTAGAGCAAATTTCAAGGAGGTCAGTTTTATTCCAAAATGATTAGGTGATAGGTATTTCAAAAAGACTTCTGATATCATTTGTTAAGTTGAACTTGTTATTTACTGCTAATAGATGATTTAATATGATTACAAGTTGCTGATTTTATGAACAGATTATGGAGATATTTAAAACAGCTAACTATCAGAGATAAGGGCAGAGAGATACAGGGTTTTTTGTTTGTTTGTTTTTGCATTTTACCTGAGATTTTTTGGGGTCAATAAACTGGGAAATCTTGCAAACAATTTCATCAAATGTCAGTCCAGACAAGGACTTCCCATGAGCATCCTTCAGTTTTCGTAAAAAATCTGTAAGTTCCTTTCTGGAAGAGATCAAGGGAAGGAAAGAGCAGTAATGATTTTCCTTAATACCTTGAGGATGTGCCCACTAAAAGAGATACAAAATCCTAGCATATGATTCATATGTAGCATACAGAAAGGACTCTTTAGGTCTTTGATCTAAAAAGTGATCACAGGTCCACCTGCATTTATCTTAAACCAAAATGAAAACTCCTAATTGTGTTCATTAATGATACTTAACATTTTCATGAGTGATAAAGTTGAGTACTATCTTTCTTTCCAAAAAGAGATTTTGTTTTTGAGACCTCACTAGGTGAAAATTAAGTTTATTCACCTATTTATGCACTGGGCTCTTTATACCATCTCTCTCAAGTGGTCTCTTCCTCAGGATAACATACTCATTTTTAGCTATGTTGCTGTTGGGTTCTCTCTTCTTTATCAGTGTTAATAGTTGTACTTTTGTAAAACTCAGAAAACAAAGACTAAACAGAACAGGAGGCCAGGCACAGTGGCTCATGCCTGTAATCCCAGCACTTTGGGAGGCTGAGGGAGGTAGATCACCTGAGGTTGGGAGTTCAATACCAGCCTGACCAACATAAAGAAACCTTGTCTCTATTAAAAATACAAAAAATTAGCCGGGCATGGTGGCGCATGTAATCCCAGCTACTTGGGAAGCTGAGGCAGGAGAATTGCTTGAACCCAGGAGGCAGAGGTTGTCGTGAGCTGAGATCATGCCACTGCACTCCAGCATGGGCAACAAGAGCAAAACTGTCTCAAAAAACAACAACAAAACAATGACAACAACAACAAACAGAACAGGAAAGCAAAAGTTAAAAATCACATTAATTATATAATGAAAGAACCCACAATTATTTTAATTGATATGTTCCTTTTCAATTGACCCAAAGCCTGCATCTACATTTTTGATGGGACAAAGTAGAATAAAATATTTTTCATTCCCAAATGAAGTGTCATGTCATCAGCCTTATGCAACTACCTTTGATTCATACCATATTCTTTGTAAACATATTTATAACAACTATACTAGAGTTCTATTTTTAGTATCTATTCACTATTATGAAATTTATAAAACTATAATTTAATAATGAAGTATGCCAGGATGTGTATTAAATGTATTCAAATAAAAATACTTGTGAAAACTAGAATTATTTCCTTAGACATAGGTTGAGATAAAACAAACTTCATTTGTGTAGGAGTAGAATTATATATCTTTCTACTAAAGATAGACTGTGAAAAACACAGTGAAGTCATGATTTCTTGCATTTTACTATGTTCTATAACAAAGAAACTATAAGGATCCTCAAAATAAAGAACATTAGGAAACTAAACCCTGAAGATGTTTGGGCTTATGTAGCATACAATCAACTTAAAATTCACGTTTGGAGATAGGTTAAGATAATTATGGCAGTTAATACCATTAAAATTGGGTAGGTTTATATCTAGTTGTACTTTCAGTAAATGAGCAAACCTAAATTTAAAGTTATTCTCTCATGATTTGAGACTAGTAACTTTTTAATGAAGAAGTTCAGCATTGAACACTGCCCATTCTTGGTAAATTTCTTTTTTCCCTACCAAGGTCAAAGTAAGGAAACATCTGTATATTTTTTGTGTTTTTTAGGTTTCTCTAAAACGTTTCATTGCCACAATTAAGGCTATGAAAGTTGGAGAACATGATCTGTACCCACCAGTAAATAAAAACTAACGTACCTGGTCTGTTGTGGAAAGGCAGTTTTCAGCCTGTCTGTAATTCTCTCCCAATTCATCATGGAGGGATCACTCCCCAGACCTGCACTGGGGGGCACAGCGTCTCCTACAGGCACTGGCAGAGTCCAGGCTATGCCAGTCATCTATAAGGGGCAGAGAGTTATAGCCCATCAGGTTTAATTATTAAGAAGTGACATTTCTGTATTTCAGAAAATGGGTAGAATGAAGAAGAGTACTGGTATACACATTCTCTTTTTAGAGTTTTTCTCTTAACTAATATTTCTAATTGTTCATAACTGTTTTAAACTTAGTTTAAAAATAGGACAAAGAAAATGGGTAGAATGAAGAATACTAGCATACACATTCCCTTTTAGGGTTTTCCTTTTAACTAATACAAACAATATTTCTAATTGTTTATAAATATTTAAACTAATCTTTAAAATAGACATGCTTGCTTCAGTAATTACACACACGTACAGAAAAACATGAAGGCTGTTTACTGCCATTTTTTTTAACAGCGAAAACTGAAAACAACCTGAGGTCTATAAATAGAGGAATGAGTAAATAAATTATGACACATCTAATCAAGTTTTTAAAAATAGATTCATATGTCTGGGCATAAGAGATGGCCATGAATTATGATTTTTTAAAAAGTCTGTGGCATATGATTTATGAAATGACTTCCTTTTACATTAAAATGTTTTATTATTATTTATTTATTTATTTATTTATTTTGAGACGGAGTTTCGCTCTTGTTACCCAGGCTGGAGTGGAATGGCACGATCTCGGCTCACTGCAGCCTCCACCTCCTGGGTTCAGGCAATTCTCCTGCCTCAGCCTCCTGAGTAGCTGGGATTACAGGCACGTGCCACCATGCCCAGCTAATTTTTTGTATTTTTAGTAGAGACGGGGTTTCACCATGTTGACCGGGATGGTCTCGATCTCTTGACCTCGTGATCCACCCGCCTCGGCCTCCCAAAGTGCTGGGATTACAGGCTTGAGCCACCGCACCCGGCCTACATTAAAATTTTTTAAATGCATATGTATACACAGAGAAAGATGTGTAAATTACAGTGTGTAAGAAGTGATTATTTCTTAGGGATTCAACTGCACAGTAACTTTGTTTCCTAATGTGCTTACATTTCTATATTATTTGCATTTTGTGATTAGCATATATACCTTTATGACAAGAAGGTAAAGTTAAGGGCTGGGCGCAGTGGCTCAAGCCTGTAATCCCAGCACTTTGGGAGGCCGAGGCGGGTGGATCACGAGGTCAAGAGATCGAGACCATCCCGGTCAACATGGTGAAACCCCGTCTCTACTAAAAATACAAAACATTAGCTGGGCATGGTGGCGCGTGCCTGTAATCCCAGCTACTCAGGAGGCTGAGGCAGGAGAATTGCCTGAATCCAGGAGGCGGAGGTTGCGGTGAGCTGAGATCGCGCCATTGCACTCCAGCCTGGGTAACAAGAGTGAAACTCCATCTCAAAGAAAAAAAAAGAAGGTAAAGTTAAATTTTCAAACCACCAAATAAAGATGGGAATACCACTAGAATTGCTCTCCCAATGTCTCATCAATGTAGACAATGATGGTGTAGAAGTTGTAGTGACACTTAGCTGTGAAACTATCAGTTTTCCCCACATTTTATTGTAGTTCCTTCTTAAGATTCTAATTAAATAATACAATAAGTGAATATTTTTGGAGTGTCTATTTGATTACTCAGATAATTATGAATGACGCACCTTCTATGTAAGGCTCTAATGAGTTATTTTCAAATATTAGGTTATTATTAGTGAAAAACTAGTAACTAGTAGCAGTCATTGGAATAATTTGTACAAAGCCTAGTAAGTGAGAAACAGAATATTGCTTCTCAGAAATCTGAATTTGTTTCAATGTCAAGCTTTACCCCAGGAATCAGAAAGTAATCTTATTAGGGGGTTAACGTATTTTAATGTTTTCAATAACAATTTATCAGAGTTCCTTATAGAATGGTGGGAAACCAAACTGCAAGAGTTAACACTGTAATATCATAATAATAAAAAGATATGTTACTTGTTAAAGACTATATACATATTTGTTTGTAGACAGGTAGTCTCGACAATAAGCAGAGTCCATCTGACTATATATTTCAAAAGGAAACTGTTAACAATATATGGGGACCAGAAAAGAAAAGAAACAATTAAATGCACCTAAATATACTTAAAAGAAATTCAAGATTAGAGAATTTTCATTAATTATATCTAACATCATTCTTTTGGAACATTTTTCTTTAATAAAAGAAGCTTACCTTTGCCAAGATTACAATTGATAATTCTGGTAATTTTAAATGTATTTGTTCCTTCTTCAAGTTTGGATAAAGTTTATCTGGCTATTTGTAGCTGGGAAGATTTATAACTTTACAGTATATGTTCCAAGAGGATGCTATTCATATCATCTGTTTATAGATATAGTTGATACACTGTCGTACTATGTGTGTGTACGTGTGTGGAAATAAAATTTTTTTTAGTTTTATGCTATAATTTAGTTTGTTGTGACTTGGCTTCTTTGCTTTTCTATCTTCCCAACAACCATGCCCCAAAATTCTATTAAAAATATCAATTTACCCTGCATTGTTGCCTGTTCAGAAGCAATGCTATAATTTTAGGGACTCTCTAGTATAAAAACATTTATTTTTGTATCCCCAAATTAAGCTATTATCAGTTAAATAATATACGTAACACCCTGAGCACAGTGCTTCACAGGAAGTATTCATTCAGTTATCACCACCACCACCACCGCCACCATTATCATCTCAGATAAAGGAACAAAGTGAATATACTCATTCAGGAAGCCCACTATAGTAATAAAAACACTAATTAACATCTATTCCACCAAGAAAGCTTTTACCAGGGGAGCTCTAGGTTGGCCAGTTGCAGAGATGACTCCTGGGCAAACTGCAGGCATTTGAGGAACAGTAAGTATGGGTCTAAAGAAAGATTCTTTCACAAGGGGTCTTCCTAAGAACTGCTGCATCTAAAACAGAAAACATAAACAATAATGACAAACAAAAAACCCCACACATATTTATGTATTTATATATGCAACCATCTAAATTCATACAGCAATAATGAGGGGGGACACTCATTTGAACTCAAGATGCAAAGCACATTAGAAACAATGTATGTCAGAAAATTAAATATATGAATATCCAAAAAACAAAGGGCAATGAGATATACTGAAAACAGCATTAAGAAAGAGAGAAAAGAAATAGAGTCTAGTCATATTTCTCTCTATCTAGCTGAATAACCTTGGAAATCAATTTTCTAATCTATAAAATGAGAGGGTCTGATAAGGTAATGTTTAAGGTTCCTTCCCAACTGTAATCACATAAGACTATGCAAAGAAGATTCTCAAGAAGTATTATCCATGGTGGTGGACAATAATGATAATGAGAAATTTCACAAAACAACCCAAAGTTATCCACAGACAATATTTCTTTCTTCGTTTATTGGAGGTAATACTTGATGAAATTCTGACTTAATGTTTAGCTCCAAGGAGAGTTGGAAGAGGAAGTGTAAGATGAGCCTGGGAGATAAACTCTGCTATAGTGACTTGGAGATATGCTTGTGGGTATTACCATACTTCCCAGGGGATTGTGGAAATCTAGACTTTCTTAGCAGCTATCTGTGGAAAATAGGTAGCTTGTTGGCTGGAGTAGAGTAAGGGGTAGATTTATTGAATATGTACTATATTCCAGGCCTAGTACTGGCATAAAGCATAAAATAGGAGTTCACTAACAATTTGTTATTGAAGTTAAAAAATGAGCAACAGCAACATAGCTCTAACTAATGATCCTAAAACTAGCATTTGAAAAATTAATGGAAAACTTTACAATGGATAGGCTGGATTGGCATTTGATTCTTAATGTCTGAAAAGAAAGACCATTATATGCCTGCTAGGTAAGAAAAGGAGATTTTTGAAACAACTGAGGAAATCTAAATTCTGAGTATTAAAAATTATAATTTTCTTAGGTAAGACAATGGTGTTATGATTACATCCAGTAGGAGTTCCTCATCTAAGATGTATCCTAAAGTATAAATAAATTGTATGATATCTGAGGTTTGCTTTAAAATATTCCAGTGGAGAGAAAAAAGAGAATGACATAAAACAAGGCTGAAAATATGTTGATAATGTTGAAGCTGGCTCCTGGGTTTGAAGAGGTTCATTATACTATTTTTTACATATGTATCAATTTTTTTTTTTTTTTTTTTTT